ACCTCTCTTCAGCAGGGTTCCCTGAGGTCTGCTTAATCTTTGGCTGTGGGTCTCTGCATCTGTTCCTGTTAGTTGCTGGGTGAGGACTCTCTGATGACAACTGGACTATGCAACCATCTATGAGTACAGCAAATTTCACTAGGAGTCATTTCATTGACATTGATTGATCTATTTATTGCCGTTCATGTGTGGTTCTATCCTAGGTCTCTGGGTTGTCCGGCCTCTGGGCCCTAGCCCTACAGGCAATGTCAAAAGTGGGCTCCCTCTCATAGTGTGGGTCTCAAACTGGACTAGTCATTTGTTGGCAACTCCCATAATTTCTGTCCCACCTTTACCCCAGCATATCTTGTAGAGAGGGCAAATTGTAGGTCAAGCATTTGGTCAAAGGTTATGTGGTCCAATGCTCCATTGCACTAGGTTCAAGTTCATTCCAGAGATGCCCTTGATTCTAGTTGTCTTTCCCAGTACTCTCTCCCTCCTTGCTCCACCAGCCTGATACTTCCTGTTCCCATGCCCACCCCACCCACATTCACCCACTCACCTGTGATATCTGTTCTATTTCCCCTTCACAGTGAGGTTCCTCTATCTCCCCTGCCCTTTCACCCTCCTTGTTACCTCGCCTCCCTAGGTCTGTGGACTGTAGCTTGATTATTATTTACTTCACAGCTGATATCCACATATAAGTGAGTACATTCTGTATTTGTCTTTCTGGGTCTGGGTTACTTCACTCAGCATGATCTTTTCTAGTTCCATCCACATGCATGCAAATTTCATGATGTCATTGTTTGTAACAGCAGAGTAATATACCATTGTGTAAATGTACTACATTTTCTTTATTCTTAGGTTGAGGGACATCTAAGTTGCTTCCAGTTTCTGGATATTACAAATAAAGCTGCCCTGAACATAGTTGAGCAAGTGTCCTTGTGGTATGATAGAGCATCCTTTGGGAATATGTCCAGGAATGGTATAGCGGGGTCTTAAGGTAGATAGATTCCCAGTTTTCTGAAAAACTGACACATTGATTTCCAAAGTGGTTGTGCAAGTTTGCGCTCCCACTAGTAATAGAGGAGTGTTCCTCTTGCTCCACAACCTCTCCAGCATGAGCTGATACTGTGTTTTTGATCTTAGCCATTCTGACAGTTATAATATGGAATCTTAGAGTCATTTTGGTTTGCATTTACCTGACGGCTAAGGATGTTGAACATTTCTTTAAGTGCTGCTTGGCCATTTGAGAGTCCTCTATTAACAACTCTGTTTAGATCTGTATCCCATTTTTTAATTGTGTCATTTGATTTGTTGATGTCTAGTTTCTTGAGTTCTTAAATATTATGGAAATCAGCCCTCTGTCGGACGTGAGAGGTTGGTGAAGACCTTTTCCTATCCTATAGGCTGCTATTTTATTTATTTGATGGTATCCTTTTCATTACAGAGGATTTTCAGTTTCGTGAGGTTCCATTTATTAGTTGTTAATCTTAGTGCCTGTGCGATTGGTGTTCTGTTCAGCAAGTTGTCTCCTGTGCCAATATGTTCAAGACTATTCCCCACTTTGTCTTCTATCAAGTCCAGAAAGACAAATACTTATTAGGTCATACTTCCAAAACCTCCACAAAATTGGAAAATCTAAAAGAAATAGACAACTTCTTTGATAGAGACCACTTACCAAAGTTAAATCAAGATCAGAAAAACAATTTAAATAGACCTATAATCCCTAAAGAAATAGAAGCAGACACACACACACATACACACACACACACGCACACACACACACACACACACACACACACACAAAAGCCCAGGGCCAATTTTTTTAGAACAGGATTCTATCAGACTTTCAAAGAGGAGCTAATAACAATACTCAAATTATTCCATAAAATAGAAACAGAAGAACATTCATTCTATAAAGCTACAGTTACGCTGATATACAAACCACACAAAGACTCAATAAAGAAAGAGAATTACAGATCAATATTTCTTATGAACATTGATACAAAATAAATACTTAATAAAATACTAGAAAACTGAATCCAAAAATACATCAGAAAGATCATCCACTGTGATCAAGTGGGCTTCATCCCAGAGATGCAGGAATGAATAACAAAAGTTGTTAATGTAATCCACCATATAAACAAATAAAAGAGAAAAAAATGATATAATCATCTCATTAGATACTGAAAAAGCCTTTGACAAAAATTCAACACCCCTTCATAAAAAAAGTCTTAGAGAGATCAGGGATGCAACAAACAAACATAAACATAATAAAGGTAATATACAGCAAGCCAATAGCCAAAATCAAATTAAATGGAGAGAAACTTTAAACAAGTCTACTAAAATCAGGAACAAGAAAAGGTTGTCCACTTTATCCAATATAGTACTTGAGGTTCTCGCTAGAGCAATAATACAACTAAAGGAGATCAAGCAGATACAAAGTGGAATGGAAGAAGTCAAAGTACCTTTCTTTACAGATAATATGATAGTATACATAGGTGACCCAGAATATTCTCCCAGGAAGATTTTATAGCTGATAAATAACTTCAGTGAAGTGGCTAGACATAAAATAAACTAGAAACAAAAAACAAAAAAAAAATCTATCAGTATCCCTCCCATATATAAGAAGAAATTAGGGAAAGAACACCTGTCATAATAGCCACAAATAATATAAAATATATTGATGCAACTCTAATTAAGCAAGTGAAAGACCTGTATAACAAGAACTTCATATCTTTGAAGAAAGACATGGGAGAAGATATCAGAAGATGGAAAGATCTCCCAAGCTCATGGATCGGTAGCATTAACATAGAATAAAATGACAATCTTACCAAAAACAATCTACACATTCAACACAATCCCTACCAAAATTCAGACACAATTCTTTACAGAACTTGAAAGAACAATCCTTAACTTTACATGTTAAAAAAAAAAAACTAAGAAAAAATAGGACAGCTAAAGCAATCCTGTACAATAAACAAACTTCTGGAGTGAAGTGTGATCCTAATTATTCTTAATCTATAAAAATCTGAAGTCAGATATTAGGATTAAAGCGGAAAGATCAGAGAAGCAGATCAGCCAGCCACCAGAGACTCTCAGTCCTTAGACTGATTGGAGGGCAATTCCGTCTCTATATGTGGATCCTGTCTCTACCCACCTTATTTTCCTGTCTTCACCTCCCTAGTGCTGGGATTAAAGGCATGTGTCTCCCACGTGCTGGCATCAAAAGTATGAGTCACCACCAACTGGCTCTGTTTCTCTTTTAGACTGGTTCAACCTCCTGTAGCCCAGGGTGACCTTGAACTCCTGATCTTTCTGCTTCCTCCTCCTAAATGCTAGGATTAAAGGTGTGTGCCACCACTGCCTGGCCTCTATGGTCAACTAGTGGCTAGCTCTGCTCTCTGATCTCCAGGCAAGCTTTATTCATCTGAACACACACAAAATATACAATACACGAGTTATTATCATCCCTGATCTCAAGCTGTACTATAGAGAGGAACAATAAAAACCACAGGGCATCAGCATAAAAACAGACAAGATAATCAATGGAACCGGATCGAAGATCCAAATGAAAATTCATTTATCTATGTATACCTGATTTTTGATAAATCAGCAAGAAATAAACAATGAAAAAAGAATCTTCAGATGTCAGCGCATAGAGATATGCCACTAGATCCATATCTGTCACCCTGCATAAACCAAGTCCAAGTGGATCAAAGACCTCAACATGAAACCAGATACACTAAGCCATATTTCTTGACTTTCGGTACCAGTAAATGGTTCAGGAGTACAGATTACTAGCAAACGCCTTTCCCTCTGCAAGATTACAAACTGAACTGCCCCCTTGCTTTATCCCCTCTTGGCACGCTGAATCTAACCTATTCTCCTCTCAGGCCGTCCTCCGGTCAAACGATTTCACCTTCTCTTCAAAAAGTATAGAAAGAAAACCTTCAGGTGCCTGTATTTGTAAATTCCCAACATTCTTGGTAGGAAAGCATATTAGGTGTTTAAAGTTTGAGAGGTTGTTACCCTTCTGAATATCTGTAAAGGTGAGCAATCCGCTCCTAGCAGCAGCTAATGTATCAGCTGGCTGTGATGGGCCACAGCCTTAATGCAAGCACTAGGGAGGCAGAGGCAAGAGAACCTCTGCACTGGAGGCCAGCCTGGTCTACAGAATGTGTTCCAGGACAGCCAGGGGTGCACAGAGAAACCTTGGGTTTCTATCTATCTATCTATCTATCTATCTATCTATCTATCTATCTATCTATCTATCTATCTATCTATCCATCCATCTATTTATTTATTGGTGTGTGTGGTGTGTTTTATAACTTCAACCACAGTGAATGGATGGCCTTCTTTCTAAAGGTCATATAGAAAATGGGACACAACACAAGCCAGCAACAGGTTAGACACTCAGCACTCGGTATCTTAGAAGGTCCCCTGGGGAGGCAGCTGTGTTTCTCTTCTGTAGTTTAACAAGAAATCCCTTCTGGTGAAAAGAAGGGACCTTGCAGCTTTCAGGCATGCCTTAGGCAAGATCAGAGTTTTTTCATTATGGTTGTTTTAAAGACTTGTCTCTCTCTCTTCCTTTCTATCTATCTATCTATCTATCTATCTATCTATCTATCTATCTATCT